TAATTTTAAACCATTGGCTTGTGAGGAAGTGCATTTCCTCTGCAGTTAAATAAAACAGAATTCTGTATGTGAATCTGAAAATGTCGAAGGCCTAGGGCATTAAGAAAAATTGTAGTATATATGATTAAAATTTCTGCCTAAGTTTATACGAAAGAACATCTTTAAGTCATGTTACATAGGTGTCCTTGCTTTGCTCAGGCAAAAAGCTAATAAATGATAATGATTGTAAATTATATTACGTTATATTACAAGCATTACAAACTAGAGATTACAATCCTTAAAAGGCCTTATGAAAAAAGAACATTTTTAGTCTTGAGGACCTAGTAATTTCATCATACTAAGTATGATGTATTAAGTCTTATTTTTATATATAAAAGCCTAATATGCAAAGTGTCCCCTCAGGAGTTCGACTATCTGGAAGTTCGACCATCCAGGAGTTCGATCGCTCGCTATGACGTGCGCTGACCACCAGGGTCAGCACGGAACGAAGGAAGGCCGGGGCCAGCAGCAGGTAGCCGCTAGGGACCCTACCCATGCATGAATTTTGTGCACTGGGCCTCTAGTTGTAAATAAAACTGAAGTCATTGTCTCTGTCTTTAAGAAGTTAACATTTTTAGTTATGGGGACTGAACAGATAACGAAACAGGTAAACTTCTTGGATATGTTATAGTTAGTATTAAATGTAGAGGATTTTTATGAAGAAACAAAACTTGTACCCAGGCCCTAGCCAGTTTGGCTCGGTGGATAGAGCGTTGGCCTGCGGACTGAAGTGTCCCAGGTTCGATTCCGGTCAAGGGCACATTCTCCAGTGGGGGGCGTGCAGGAAGCAGCCAATCAATGATTCTCATCATTGATGTTTCTATCTCTCTCTCCCTCTTCCTTCCTCTCTGAAATCAATAAAAGTACATTAAAAAAAAACAACCCCAAAACTTGTACCCAGTAATAATGAACATTCAGCGTATTTTTTAAGCTAGAAAATCACGTTTTCCAAACTAAAAACAATCTAAATTCAATGTAAATCAATACACTTGTGATTTTTGCCAATGAAAACATTCGCATAAAAAGATGAAAGAGCATCAGATTAATGTAGTCTAAATAGCCTAATGGAAATGAAGAATCTATAAATGTAAAACAAAGCCAGCCAATTAAATTTATTGATTAAATATATCAGAAGAGCCCTGGCTGGCATGGCCTCAATGGATAGAGCGTGGGCCCTGCGCACCCAAAGAGTCTGGGTTCAATTCCGGGTGAACGGCACATACCTGGGTTGCAGGTTCCCATCCTGGCCCTAGGCCCCATTCAGGGAGCCTGCCAGAGCCAACCAATCCATGTGTATAAATGTTTCTCGCTTTCTCCCCCTCCTTCCCTTCCATTCTCTCTCTCTAAAAAAGAAAAAGAAAAAAATAGGCCCTTTATAAAAGTCTGGCTAAATTTTCCCGAGTCTACAGTGGTCTACAGAATAGCAAAAGACCTTTAAATCTGGCCATCGTGATCGCTGATCCATGTTTCTCTCTCATCGATGTTTCTAACTCTCTCTCCCTCTCCCTTCCTCTCTGTAAAAAATCAATAAAATATATTTAAAAAAAATAAATCTGGCCATCGTGGATTGAAAT